CTTCCTGTCGACCGCAGAACGAGTTGTTGTATGCTGAGATAGAGCTCATGCAGAAGAGGGTAACTTTATATATTTTGGGTCAACATTTCTTCCAAAAATCTATGTCATGAATCTCATTAAGTATTAAAGTTTCTATGATCTTTATGCTTGATTATTTAAAATGTTGGGTTTAAATCTGATGAATCAGGAGCTAGAGCTGCACAACGCCAACATGTTCCTCCGAGCAAAGGTCATCATAACATGAATCTTGATGCTACATTAATTGAAGACGAACAATTGAACCAATTAAAGTCCATATATACATTTTTTTTTATTATTATTAATATTATTGGTTTGATATGGTGCAGATAGCTGAGAGTGAAAGAGCAAAAGAGCTGCAAATGAACTTGATGCCATCAGGATCAGAGTATCAACAGCAGCCCACCATAACATCTTCACAGTCTTACGACGTTCGTAATTTCCTTCCAATGAATAATCTGATGGAAACCAATCACCACTACTCTCCAGATGACGAAACCGCCCTCCAGCTCGTGTACATTGACTATATCTATAATGCCTCTTTATTTTCTCCCTTGTATACATTACCTCACATGTATAGTCATTCCAAATAATACTTCAAGTTTAATTTTGCAGCTAATTGAAGGAGAGTTCTGCTTTGGATTTGGCACTCAAATTCCAGACGGGAGATCTGATGTCTTGATGATCAATCTGTACTTTCTTAATTAAGGCCTTGTAATATGTACTATAGACCCACTGTATATGTAGGGCTCATCAACTATGTTTTGTTCAATGTAAAAGCTAACTACTTTGTCTCTGACTACTCAATTTGGTCCATGAATCCTTTGAAATATGGTTGGTTTTGGTGTGGCTAACAGATTTTTAACTTTTTCCTATTAAGTACTGATTGTGCCTATTAATATTATGCACACGGCAAAAAAGAATAGGGGTATACTATATTTGTCCTTCATTGCATGGCCACGCATCACGTCGGTAAGTAAGAGTCGATTTTACGAATTAAATTGAGGCAATTTCGTATTAATTGAATAAAACTAAAAAAAAACAACTAGTTAATATGGACGGGGGGATTGATTTTTTATGTTCCTAAGTGATATGGAATATCATACTAGACCGGTTTTAATGGATAAGAAGGAATATATTGGAGAATAAACTTATACATGGGCTAGGACACATGACATAATGGTCTTGGTCAAACCCAACTTGGGCACTAAGGTACACATCCCCTACAAAAGGGGCCTAAGGTATCTCAAAAACTCATTCTCTCTACATTCATTACTACATTTTCATATTGCACTATTTATCTCTGGCCAGTGCTGACTTAGGCATCAGAGACTCAACGTTGGGACCCCTCCCGGCGTTGAGTTCCTGCAGGTACGAAGGTCGTTCGAGTTGAAGGAAATTGGGTGAAATCTATTTAACTACCATTCACGCCATCTGTGGGAACCATTCAATGAGCCAAAAATCGACCGTGCAAACGAAGTTCCGACTGAAAATTCCAAAAATTTTCCAGTTGCCTCCTTCATCTCCTCCGGCCGCTGCCAGCCGTCGGTCAAAGAGCTCCAATCGAAAAAAAATTTACATCGTCGCAAAGCACTTCTTGTGCTCATCCTCCTAAAGTTTCAAGCGAAAATTCCACCGGGAAGGCCGTTATTTTGCCGGTCAATATTTTTGGATCTAAGAATTTTTTAGTCAACTCCGGTCTTCTTCCCCAATTTTTCGGTAATTTTCGGCGATCCACTTCAAACCGACGGCACCGTCAAAATCTTCTCAACAAGGCTCACCCTCGGCCGGTCACGTTCGCCTGAATCGGCAACATCTCTCCAGTGACATTTTTTCTGATGAGTCGCAGTCCCTGTTCGTAGCCCACCATCGCATACTTTTCTTGTGCCCCTCAGCCTGCACCTGGCCCAGTGAACGCGGACGATCCACCAATGACGCGACCCAGCGTCCTCGATCCAACAGCTAGGGGGCCCAACAGCCGCACGAGTGCGGCCTACTTCGCACATGGCCCAGTGCGAAGAGAATGGAAGAGCGCAGGCCGCGTCCAGCCCGCGTAGCTCGACTCCAACTCGCGCCAGCCCATGCCTCAGTCCGCGCCCAGCCCAGCCTCAGCCCGCGCTCTAGCCCGTAGCTCTCCCAGTCTGTGACCCACGCGAGCCCCCGTCCAACCCGCGCTCAAGCCCAATTTCCACAGCCCGCCTCCTTGGCCCAGCGAGCAAATTTGGCTCAAATCGGGATCAGTTTGAGAGAAGCAAGCCCCAGACCGGTCCAGACGGTCCAACAGTGGTCCAAATCAGCCCGGCTCGGTCCAGCAACTCCGGTTCGAGCCCAAGGCGATTTCGAGACGATTCGAATTAATCGGTGATACAAGACGAGCAACACGGTCAAGGTGAAGTAATTTGAGATAACATTCTCATGATGCAGGTATGTGGTTAGTTAAATTATGGGTCCAAATGATATTTAGAATTGGTGAAAATTGAAAAATTGGTTGGTTTTATCAATGCATTTAGAGAGGCAAGCTATATTTTACAAAGGATTAATTAAACAAGTTTGGTTGAAGATAAATGTGGGTCATAGTTTCAAATTGAGGATATGTAGGGATTGTGTTTATCAATTTCTATCGGTGGATTACAAGACGTTGGTTAGAATTAAATTAATGATCTTGGTATTGGGAGCAACTCATCTAAATTTCCGTTTGGTGAGCAAGTAGTTTGAATTCAGGTGTTTTGCAAGCAATCGGAAACTGTAGTTTAATTTGATTTTTATGGTCTTGGTATATGGTCAAAACTGTGCATTGGTTTAATTGTTGTTTGTATCTGCGAAATTTAGTTTGTTGCAATTTTTTGTTGAATTTATGGTTCTGTGAAATTCTGGTTGATTGTGCCTTTGAGGGGGTGTTTATATGATTACATATCGTGGTAAAGAGGCTTGTTTGTAGAATAAGGTGTGGTATAAAAGCACGTGGACCAATTTGACTGCTTTATTTATTAATCTCTTGTTCAATATTGCCGTCGGAATTGAAAATTGGATGATGTGGATAAAATATGACTAATAGTATTTTTTAAATTTTTACTGAGGAAAATGCATGGGCATGTGGACTGGATATTGGTTACGGTGAGGAGTGGAAAGCAGGGAGGAAACGGAAACTTAGGTCATCATGTACAAACAGGAAAGGGAGGTCAAAAAATATGCTTGATTTTTTTTTTTTATCTTGTTCGATGTAATTATGCATTTGGTGACACTAATTAAAATGATCGACTACGATTATATCTTGTTGTGTTTGGCGTGTTTCTATTTAACCTCAGTTGTAGGTCGAAGTGTGTGAGCTGTTTGGAAGAAAAAAATTCACCATGACCAAGGCCTTCGAGCTGGGTGGTCGCTTGTTTTGGTGCATCCCTTTTGGGGTAGGCAAGTGCCTAAAGAAAAACCCACCATGACTAAGGCCTTCGGACTAGAACCGAAGTGGAGAACGCAGCAAAGGCTGAGGAGGATCGAGTCTTTGACATCATCAGCCGAATCATGTATGAGCAGATCACAAAAGAAGATGTAAAAGAAACAGCGAATGACAAAGAGACTCCAAGGGTGAATGATAAGGCTAATGAAGAAGCGACCAAGGATGATGATGCTTAGTCTGTTTTGAGTTTTTCCTTTTCTGTTTTGAAGTGTTCCCGGCATGTCGGGTCACTTGGTTTATTGTATCTAGTAGTTGTAATAGTTTGAAAAACAATATCTTATGAATGAATGACTTCTCTCCTTGACGTCGAGATCTTTGAACCTTTCCTTCACTTCGCTTCGCTTCGTTTTTTAGAGGTCAACTTGGGGTTGATGCAGTTGATTTGCCGCATCGCGACATCGTCTGCTCTTATGCTTCTCACCAACTCCCGCCGCTAACGTCATCATCCCCTCACCTCTTCGTCAACGGCTCTTTTAGTTATATTGGTTTTCACTCATAAGTTTTCAAGTATATTAAACTCGGAATTTTGGATAAGTCGGTATTTTTTAATTCCGACTATTATATTCAGAATGTCATTTTACTTTTGCCGAATTTTTTCAAGTGTTAAGAAGTCGGCCAAATATTAATTTTATAAGTGGACGTCATCAGCTTCGATGGAAATTTGGATTTAATCTTATTCAAATCAATCTTTAGGATTTGAATTTAAAGATGATCCAATTTTTATCTCAATTGTCCATAACCTTCCTAAGTTACTGAACTTGGTTGTCTGAAGGTTAACAGTTTGGCCGAGAAAGATATATCTTGCCGAGTTATGTAGCTCGGTTTAAGACCAAGATAATCCTTAACAGAAGTTTTTAGTAACATGTTAGTCTTGTCCAAGTTAAAGGCTTGGCTATATAAAGACTAATGCTGTACCGAGTTCAATTTCTCGGTTCTTTTTAAGAGACTCTTTAGCACACAATTTTCTTATATTCATCAAAAAAGAGTGTACAGAGTCAGATATACATCGTAACCACTTATTGGAATTACTTCTTCAGATAAACGGCATTCCAAGGATATGGAAGAGTAAGTCCATCTGGTTTTTCAAGTCGGTAGGTACCTTTTGGAAGCACTTGACTTATCTTGAATGGTCCTTCCCATTTTGGTTTCAAAGGCCCCGGATCTGGTTCGGTAATTCTTTTAAGTACCAGGTCGCCAACTTGGAATGAACGAGGTTTTATTTTTGAGTTGACGTACCTCTCGCTTCTTTGCTTATAAGCGGCATTTTTGAGATCTGCCATAAGGCGAGTTTCATCTAAGAGGTCCAAGTTGGCTTTCAGATTTTCCGAGTTGGTTTTATCGTAGAAGTTCGCTACTCGATATGTCGGAGATCAGAGTTCAACAGGGACAATAGCTTCTGATCCATAAGTAAGAGAAAAAGGTGTTTATCCTGTTGCATGGCTAACTGTCGTTCTATAAGCCCATAACACATTCGGCAGTTCTTCAGGCCATGTCCCTTTTGCGGCATCAAGTCGGACTTTCAATCCATTTTTAATTATTTTGTTGATCGCTTCGACTTGTCCATTGGATTGAGGATGATATGGAGAAGAGAAGAAGTGCTTTATTTGATACTCTTCACAGAAAGCTTCAAGTTGTTTTCCTTCAAATTGTCAGCCGTTATCTGTTATGATAAAACTCGGAATTCCAAACCGGCATACGATTGATTTCCAAATAAAATCGATAACTTTTTACTCAGTAATTGTTACTAATGGCTCAGCTTCCGCCCACTTCGTAAAATAGTCAACTGCCACAATGGCAAATTTAACACCTCCCTTCGCGGTTGGGAGTGGGCCAATTAAGTCAATCCCCCATCTAGCAAATGGCCACGGACTATAAACCGACTTTGAGAGTTTCTAGAGATTGATTTACATTTGGGGAGAATATTTGACACTTCATGCACTTACGAACCCAATTTGCAGCGTCAGTCTTTAGGGTTGGCCAATAATATCCTTGCCGAAGTATTTTATATGCTAATGCTCGCGCGCCATTATGATTTCCACAAATTCCTTCATGGACCTCTTCAAGGACATACGTTGACTCTGGCTCGGTTAAACATTTCAACAGAGGAACAGAATATCCTCGCTTATAAAGGACTTCGTTATCCAATGTAAACCGAGCTGCCCGAATTCGAAGGGATCGAGCTTCTTTCGGATCTTGGGGTAAGGCCCCTGTCTTCAAATACGCTATAATTGGTGTCATCCAAGTCGGTGACCCCTGTAACTCGGTATTCATAACTTCAGTAAGAGAAGTAGAAGGTAATTCTTGATGACCGACTTGGACATACTCAACATTCTCCATTCTAGTACTTGATGCAAGTTTAGAAAGCGCATCGGCTGGGATGTTTTGTGAACGAGGAAC